GTCCTTTCCAACCCTAATTATTGTATGATTCGATGTCTTTTTTAATGGCATAATAATCAATAAGAAACAGTTTGAGATTTTCCAGTGAAAAATACTTAGTTCCCTTGTCAGAAGATTCTCATTAATTCTGTAGTAATAAATAGTACAAAAATAGCTGGCATGATCTAAAGACAAGGTTTCAACTAAATACTGAAAATGCATATAATAAATTGAGTGAGTCTCAGTCCCTCTATTAATAATAAAGGGACAGATTTACCTTCTTATAAAGCTACTGTGGTTATCAGAATAAGATTTTTACCTTAGTAGAATTTCTATTGGTAGATCAGTTTGCAGCAGTTTAAATGTTTAATTTGTTTAAATTTGCATTGACACATGCTCTTTTAGCAGCTGAATTTTTGATCTTGGGTATTGTGGTCATAATGGGCTTTACAGCTTCTGAATCAGCTACATTCTAAGATGGAGTGAGCTACCCTTCCCAGATCACAGGTTAGGGTTGGATCATCTGGTTCCTTCCACTGCTAAAACACTCTCTATAGTTCTGTATTAAGATGGTTAAAACTGTTGATTACAGTTGGCTTTTTTCTTTTAGATTCAAGCACTTCAGGAAGCCTATGACGATCTTTGCCAGAAAGAGGGGGTTACAGCCTTGCCTTATTTTTTAATCAAGTATCATGACAATTTGGTTGAGATATCTCCACTGAAAAAGTGGGATGTTTTCTTCCGAGACCAAGGAGGAAAGGTAATGAGAATTTTATGTCTTTTTATAACCTAAGAATGTTTAATTTACAAATGGTTTGAGAAATGTTTGAAAAAGCTGTGGCAAACACTTGACTGAAATCTAGTGTCACGATGTATTAAACATTTGCAAATACGTAAAAGGTGTGTGTGGGCCTTTTCTGTTCAGCAGTTTTCCATTAAAAAGGCCGGATAACTTGTACTGTGAACTGAATATCAGTATGGATAGATGAATTCTCATTTAGAGCAATTTTATTTGCAGGTGACAGTTGGAGTTTATGATCCATGTAATTTATCCCACTATCCAGGATGGCCACTGAGAAATTTCCTGATCCTGGCAGCCCACAGATGGTATCTATTTAATTTTTTCCCCACAAAGATTATTTATTGGTTGATATCAAATTAGCATTGCTCCCCCCCATGGTACTTTACTGGCATCTCCCACCTGAGATTTAACTTTTAACCATTTAACTTACCTTCAGTGATTCTGATTTTGCATATTATTCTGGTTTTTACTTCTGTCAGTCACAAGTTCCTATTATTCCTAGTCCTCACATCCATGCATTTACCTGGAAATGTTTCAGACCCTGCCAATCCCATATAGCTGTTTCAAAAAATGACACAACATCAAGAACAAGAAGGATCTTGCTTGTGTCATGGCAAAGCACATCATGTCACCTGATGTGTGCTCTAGCGCTTCCCTGCTTTTTTTATTCCTCTAAATATGCTGTTTGTCTGGCAGCATTGTATAAATGACAGAGAGCAGTCTGACAGTGACATTTCTTTAGAGCTGTTTCACAACAAACTAGTCATTTTCACATCCTAAGCCATTGTCTTAATTCCTGATAAGAAAACAAGTGTTCCCGTGCGAACAGAGAAAAACCTGTTCAGAATCTGCAAGAAACTGAATCTGTGTGAAACAGTGTTTAAAAGAAGTCCCATTCCTGTTGAAGACGTTGCATGTGTCTCTCTCTCTCTTTTCTTTTTTAATGGCAGGGGCAGCGTTCTCAAGTCAGTTGAAGTGCTCTGCTTCAGAGATAGGACCATGCAAGGGGTGAGAGACATAACACACAGCATTATCTTTGAAATAAAACTTCCAGAGAGAGCCCTTGGCCCAGGTAAGCCATTTAAAAAAATTCTTTCTATTCTTTCTCCCTCCCCAATCACTGTGAAGATGGAAAAAATAAATTAATACTAAGTCATTGCTTCTGCTGAGGTGTATTTCAAATGGATTTGAAGTGGTTTGAATTTCTGTTAAGTATCTATAAAGGAAATAACGTATTCTAGTAATTTTTTCCTCCTTAATTGTGTTTCTAATTTACAAAAGAAGAAAAGTCCTCCTCGTGTCATATGAAACACAAACCCAGGCAATTAGCAAGTAGTTCCTTTTATTTCTTGTCAAATTTGTATGCAGTCCCTCAAGTAGATAAAATGCTTATGTTACTGAATTTGTGTTGCAAACTTTCTGTAGATGTCTAAAATGGTAGAAGCCTGCTACAGCACAGAATTGTTGGCTCAATCCCATAGTGAGGTAGGCAGATGTATTTTAAAGCAATAAACTTGTAACATTAGAAAATAATCTCAAGCATAGCAAAACTCCTCTGCCTCATCCAAGAAGTTTTGAATGCTTTACATCTCATCCTTGTGAATTATTTAATTATTATAGAATTTAGGTATATAATTCTCCACTGAATTTACAGATGGGGCTTAGGGAACATGAAGGTGATTGAACTTGGCAAAATTTATGAAGTTCTGAATGCTGATCTTCCTGAGTTCTAAACACAGCGGTGTGTTTGACATTAAACATCCAGAGGCTTGAGGAGGAATGATGCCATCTCTGTCCAAGGTTTGAAGCAAGCTGGAAAGGCAAAAGCAGCACATTAGGCACCTGAGCATAAAGCAGTTATCCAAGAAGCAGTGATTTCAGTTGATGTAAAGCAGCAAAATATATATTGTAACATATACTAAGTGTTAAGATACAGATTATTTACTTACAGGTTTAGAATTTGTGGTATTTTTTTCCAACAGGGTTAAATCAAAAGATTTTCACTTTTGCTCTTTCTTCCTTTTTTTTTTTTTTTTTAAATATATCAAATTAGATTGTCCAAAAGCTGTTGGATGGGAGAAAAACCAAAAGGGAGGAATGGGTCCAAGGATGGTGAATCTCAGCGAATGCATGGATCCAAAAAGGTTTGTTCGTTATCTTTTCTATTTCTATAGTTTTCCTTACTTGCGTTTAAGCCATTAGCAAGTTGAAATGTGAAATGCGAGGACTGTCTGTCTCTGTTAGGTAATAATCTACAGGAACACATACACTGTGTATTGTTTGGATAGTCCTGTTGGGGAAAAAAGACTTTAATAGAGCAGAATGCTTGGAATGCAGCAGCAGTGTTTGCAGTTTTTGACTCTAGCTTAAAATTTCAAGTACACTATATTTAAAATGGAGTGAATGTAGGTCATAGTGTTACGGGCCTGTGGGTTTCATTGAATTCAATAACCTGCAGGTTGTTAACAAAAATAAGCATGGAGAAAAGTTCAGCCTTTGTCAGAGTGTAACAGGAAAGAGCTCAGGAAACATGACAGTAATTTTTATCATCCTGCATATAACGTATGGGAAATGGCTTGAAAACAATCTTAGCTACACAGCCTCTTGGCTTATCTGCTTTCACTGACTTTGAAGCTGCAGGAGCATGGTGATCTAATGATTTAGGTTTACATATTTCACGTGTCAAGCTCAGCCATTTTTGTCTTGCAAATTGTGGCAATTCATAGTATGTTCACAGACATTAGAGAAGGTTCATCCCAGGGCTCTTAATTCTTTAAGTAAATGTAATGTGACCTTTATTTCTGTGCATGCTCCCTTCTATTAATTCCCATGGAGACTGTTGGTAATATGCCAACCTTGGCAATTGCAATCTTAAATCCTTGTTAAACAAATGATGTACTGCACACTGCAAGTTTCCTTTATGATATATAAAGGAAAGAAACCATCAGGAATCTAAGAACTATGATGACTTGACTTGAGAGTTTTAACACCCTGCGTTCTGATGAATGTAAAAATCTGACACTAGGTTGAGCATGGGTTTCCTACCTCATTTTCCTTCTAAATCTTCCCCACAGAAGATTGCCCATATTCTTTAGGGGTTAGTGTAGTATTTTGTGTTAAGGACAGATGTAAGTGGATACAGGAAACCAGATAATTTAAAAAAGAAACAAAAGTTTATGGGCAAATGGTCTGTGTCTTATCACTCAGCTTGACAGGAGCCTTGGCAGAGATGCTGTTTTTATTTTCATGCTTGCATCAATTTTTTTGCCAAACTTTGAATTTTGGATTGTTACATTTTTCAGAAGCCCTTACAAACACGTTCTGATTCCGAAGGAAGTGTGTGGCTTTTGTAGACTTTTACAGCAAGCCCAGAGTAGCCAGCTGGCACGCTTCTCTATGTCCTAGCTTTTGCAGGAGAATGCTTTCTTAGCAGAATTTCCTGGTTAATAACCGTCTTGTCAAATGTCTACAAACTGTTTTGGGTTTTTTTTAAACTTCCACTATCTTTCTACTCTTGTTTCAGTAGTGATTTACTCCTCAGTTTTGAAGCAGTACAGTCACAGCTTTTACAAGCACTGTTCATTAGCGGTGTTCGGCCAACACGTTGATTACAAGGAACTCTGTGTGTATTTACATAAATTGACTTTTGGCATCTTCTGTTTTTCATGTTTTTCCTGTGTATCTGATAGCCAGAATGGTTAAATTTTTATGGGTAGGACCCTCAAGAACATACTGCATGTGTCACAAAAACAAGCAGTGTAAAAATGCCTTTTCCTCATCTCCTTTACATACACCTTATTATTATGTGGAAATATGCTTGTGGGACTTTGATTATTTTTTTTTTTATTACCTCTATATTGAATTGTTTCTCTCCTTAAAATAAGAAAGAATTGAACTTCTTCAGTTGAAATAGAAGTAATTGCTTTGTTGCAGGAAGACAAGAACATTTAGAAGTGTGTTGCTCTTTTTCATGGTATAGGTTAGCAGAATCATCAGTGGATCTGAATTTGAAATTGATGTGCTGGAGGTTGGTGCCTACTCTTGATTTGGAAAAAATTGTGTCTGCCAAGTGTCTGCTGCTAGGAGCTGGTACACTAGGTTGTAGTGTTGCAAGGACCTTGATGGTAAGTCCTGAGTTAGTATTAAAACTGATCTGCTGTTTCTCATAAATTCTATATGATTTTTTGGGTTTTTTTTTGAGCAGCTGCCATGGCATGTAAGAGAAAAGTTCCTTTGTATTAAAGTAGACATAATACATCGCAGGGAAGAGGTGAGATCTGTAGCCAAGGGAAATAAGTTCTGCTAACAGTAGAATAGTAGATAGTAAGAGAACCTTAACAAAGTAGTAATTTGTTTTAAATTTACCTAAAAAAGATTGAATGAGAAATTCTGGAACAAATTAATGACCAAATTCATAGTGAAGCACTTGTAAATATCAGCACAGTTAGTTACTTCTTTTCCACAGGGTTTTGAAGGATTACTGTTAAATAATATATTTGTACAGACCAAATTTTCTATTCTGTTATTTCAGTGCAGGAACAAGGTTGCTGCTGTGAATAGATTCAAAAGCTTTTGTAGCTTGATCTTTCTAGAAGAACTGGACAAAACTCCTCTTGAGTTCCTGGCATTACTCAAAAGTATACTCAAAAGCCCATTGTACTTACTGTCATTTAAATCACTTTCTTGTTTAGGGTTGGGGAGTCAGGAAAATTACATTTGTGGACAATGCAAAGATCTCCTACTCCAACCCGGTACGACAGCCATTGTATGAGTTTGAAGATTGTCTTAGTGGGGGGAAGCCCAAGGCACTTGCAGCAGCAGACAGACTACAGAAAATCTTCCCAGGAGTGGTAAGATTAGTACTTAAAATGTGTTAACATATCTTCTTTGGCAGAGAACCAGTGACTTTAAATGACTGCTCCAAGTTCTAGTAATTAAGTATTATTACGAGTGGAAAAATACCTGTTAGATGTTATTGAGACAATATTGTAACAGTGGAATAGATCATCTGAATAATCTTGTAGCTCACTGATGGTGAAGTAAACTTTTCCCTGTCTGGTATGTCCTAAGCAACTTCCAGTTATGGCAGCTTTTAACACCATATTCTCCCATGCTGTTCTTAAATGTGAGTTTAGACCCATTAGTTGTCTATTAGGGGAGCAGAAGGTCTTGAGGGCAGTAATAAATGTATGGGTGAGATTTCCTATTATCTTTTACACTCAATATTTGTATTCTTGTTGGAGTTGCTGTTCTGTATTAGAGGCAAATATCTTAATCTTTAACTTCCAGAAAAGGGAAGTAATTTGTAGCAGCCTGGAGAAGATACCAGTGTTGGCCTTTGGTCAAAGTACTCTTCTTCTGGGGAGTGATAACTTACTATCAAAATGAAGTAGCTGAAAGGGAACAAGCCAAGATGTTTTAGAAGCTTTATGATGAAAGACCCATCGATTGCAGCCTTTATCCTCTTTGACTCCAGGGTTGTGCATCATATGAACATTAGTCAGTGCACATGTTCAAACATACCTGGTTTTCAGCGCTGAAAAAAGTAGATTGAAAAACCCCAACCTTATAAATACTTGCAGTTCTCTTGGTTTCAGTCTTCATTTGGGGGAAGACTTGATCTGGTCTGCAATTTCTCTATCATGAAGAAAATTTTTTATGCTCGTTTGACATGTGATAGAAGTAATTCAGTGGTTTATAGTTTTTGTTTTGGGCTTGAGGCTTGGAATTGGTAGCTGTAGTTGCTCAGCTGACAAACGGTCTCTTAACCACTCACTGTAGTAAGAATGAGTTATGTATACTTACAATGCAACTCTGTAAGTAAAATGCCACTGAATATGTTACTAGTCATAATACTAAGTTATGAACAGTAGAATATAGATTGTTATATTGATGATCAGTGTCATGAACATCTTCAGACTGTAATTTCTAAGCAATTTTAGGTTCCTTTAGTTTGACCCAAGGATTACTCTGTGCTTTTGTTCTGTTTTTATCTGTTGATGTTATGATTGTAATTAAAACAGTATTAGTACTAAGTAGTAATTCAATGAATATTTGAATATCAATGATCCCTGGTACATAAAAATACTCAACATTTCATTTTCAGAACCGTATAAAAAGAAATCAGAAGAGATTCTCTGAAAGTTCCTGGAATTGTATTTACCCTTACCTTACACTGTAGTGTTTCTGTCACTTGGAAATGTTTAGTTATAGAAGTATTAAATAGCAGAACAAGAAGAGAAAAGCAAGCATCTGTGTGATATCACCCAGAGCACTAACATGATGCTAACTAGGATTTATGACGTGATTTCTTGCTTTTTAAGCCTGAGAAAATGAAAACAGGACTATAAAGAAAGAATGAGTAGTTTAATTAGAAGAAATCCAAGCTGTTTGTGAAATCCTGAAGGATACAGTTTTGCATGTGAGATAAAGATCAGAAGTTGGTGTTAGAAGTTTTCTTCTCAGAAATAACCAAGGCGGCAAAAGACCAGGCTGCGCTCTGAAGTCTTGAGATTGGGATGAAGCTTAAAACAATAGTTAAATATAACATGCAGAAGAGTTTCCAGTAATAAGGGGGAACCAGTAACAGGGGCTTAGTGAGCCTGTATCAATTAGTGTTAAGGCATTTGGTATACATAGGAAAAAACCCAATGTTCCTGTTCAGTAATAGCATATACAACATGCAACCCGCACTGTGTATAAGGAATTTTTCCTCTGCCATATGCCTCAAATATTCTGCATCTACTACTGCTTTCTTAGCTCAGTGTTGTGCATTCTGTTATTTTCTCATGCCATGGTGGGTGACATCTGATCAGCCTTCAGTGGTACTCAGGCTTAGTTTCATAGTTTTGCGCACAAACGAGGAGAAAGCTGTTGCAGAGACCCTGTGTACTCTTGTGATAGACTGTTTCTAATGGAATTTCTAGTGAAACTCATTTCTGCAGTAGAACTCGTGGAGAAGGGGTGTCGTGTTTGACCATCAGTAAATACACAGAGAAAGAGCATCTTAGCGTTAACAACAATTAATTTGGGTTTGCATTTCTGTGCAATTCACTGGCAGTCTAATTTCCTTACTCTGATTTCAGCGTGAGTAGTATTTTGCACACAAGATTCAGTTTCTCCTGGTTGACTTTGAAATGCTTGACTGCTTTATGTAAATTCTTCCTTATTGTTTTTAATCTACATCCTTTCTAGTTGGAAGAGTAATCACCTCATCATCACAAAAAAAACAAGGAGGAATGCTTTGGCAAAGAGCTTTGATTTGTTTCTTTCCACTTCTAAGAGTGTCATTAGCTGTAGCTTAGAGATTTATAATAAAAAAGAAGGGAGGACTTGGAAATATAAAAATTCATGGATTCACAGCCTTTCACTGCAAGTAGGTAATGCACAGACTCATTTGAGTAACTGCTGTGGAATTTAGCTTCATTGCATCTCTGTTGCAATCATTTCCTGAAGTATTAAGGCATGGAACTCCAGTGTATTCAGCATTTTATCATCCTTTGTTCCATACTGCATTGTGGGCTCTTTATGTAGGTATTTCCAGGAAAACAATTTACTGATGGCAGCATCTTCATTTTCTGTGCACTTACTACCCATGGCACAAATGTGATCGGGTTCATCTATTAAAATTCATTGGGCACAGATACCTTTTAAGTGATGTGAGCCATGGTTTAACCAAAAATGCAGAAAGTGAATAGAAATGTGAATACAAATGAGTTTGGCTGTAAAAGTGCACCTCAGCTGCTTTTTGTGGTGAGTGGAGTCTTTTTTTTTTTCATGAACCAGTTATTCAAATAAAATTGAAGCTATTAACATTACTAGACGTATGTATTCTGCATCTAAAGTCACTGGGTAGTTTTGTTCTGAATTCTGGGAAGATTTTAGTATTTTGCATACCTTGTTACCATATTTCCATGCAATCAGTGTTCAACTTACATGTTGACTTGTAATTTTGTGGAACAAAAGTCCCCAACAGTGTCAGTTACACTGATCTGATCAGTCAGCACTTGTATGCAGTACAGGGGCTTGGTGAGTTATCCATAAATACACTTCTCAAATACAGCATGGATTAAGTTTTGTGTTTCTGCCACAGGTTTTTGGAGAATATGATAACAGTGAAGGTAAAACCTCCCCCAGCAATTACCCAGTGTCTCTGCTGGTGACATAGAGCTGTTCCCACCAGGAAACAGTGGAGCTGCCTTGTTAATATCATACTAGATCACTGTGGACTTGACATTTTTCCCCTTGGAGGTGGGGGGAAGGAGAGGGGAAAAAAAGATGCATCCTGTGGTATAGTTAGTGCAGACCTTACCCAAATTTATTTCTCCAAGCTGCTCTATGCGTCTGTTTCTTTTTATCATCAGGGATATTTATGATATTTAGAATGTATACTTTATCCTTCTGGTTGTTTGGCTCACCTGGATTTAGGAGTTGTGCATGTAATTGGTCAGTTCAAAAGCACACTCCGCCAATCTTCCTTTCCTCTCGTCCCGTGTAATTTTATGCATGGTTCACCTAGCTTTTAAATTTTGGCTTTTAAATTCTCAATTGCTCACTGCAGCCAGATGGCTGACAGATTGTGTTAACCTATTTCCAAATGAGCGAGTTGATTGTTTGGTTTGTTATGTGCATTGTGTGTACGCTTATTTGGCTCTTCAGCCATTTTCTGCTCAATATGCCTTGCCCGAATGCAGAGTTAGAAGAGGCATATGTTTCTGCAATAGGAGCAAGCTCTTTCAGCATCTGCATAGTACACGCCTCCAGACATCCAAGCACTGGAGTAACAAGTATCATAAGTGATTTTCTTCTAAATCAGATTCACATATGGTGGGTCAAATTACATGAAAGTAATTCAAAACTATTGTTCTTCTCATAAAGAATTTAAAACAAAGAGGAGAACATGTGATACTTTGCATCTGTCTTACAGTAATTGAATGAATATGCAATATCAAAAATAGAAACTACAGCCTTGTTAACATTGTGTGTGAAGTGGCTGCATAGATTAGTCCAGGACAAAGGTTTTAGATAAGTTTAACAGCATGATCGTAATCATATGTAAGATGCTTGCTTTTGTAATTGTAGTGGTGTTTGTAAGCTATGGCATTAGGAACAGTCAGCTATCTCCTTGTCATTTGCCAGACCTAATAAGCCTTTCTGAGAGCCTGGGCTTGTTAGTTCAGACACCAAGCCATACGAACATGATTAGTCTGCTCTCATGGCCCAGGCTAGTGTGTTTGCATTGAGCTGCTCTGTTCTGGATAAATACAGCAGCTGAGACTGACATTTCCTCAGCATCTTTAGCACTGTGCTTGAGTGCACAGCACTGCTACAGAGATGTAAAGAATAAATGTGCCATTCTGCCAAACAGCAATTTAATCTGTACTCCACAATTTTGTATGGACCATTACAGTAATTCTGTTCAGTCATGAGGTTATCTTTTTAATGTGGTGGTTTCTGTCTGTCTCCATCTAGGTTTCAGAAGGCTACAACATGAGCATCCCTATGCCAGGCCACCCGGTGAATTTTTCTGAAGTAACAATGGCACAGGCTCGGAAGGATGTGGCTAAACTTGAAGAACTTATTGATGCTCATGATGTTGTTTTCCTACTAATGGACACTAGAGAGAGTCGATGGCTTCCTGCTGTCATTGCAGCCAGCAAGAGGAAGGTATTGTACCATACCTTGCTAATATCCTTGTCACTGTATTTTAGCTCTTGCATATCAATGGGCTCTGTCTACTTAAAAGAACTTAATGGGATATTGAAATATTTGACTGATCCTTTGTGATTGTGCAGATTTTTTTCTTGTTTTCTGTAGCCGCAAAGGCTCTGTAGATTACAAAAAGAGAGGGTTGGAAAGAGAAAATAGGAACTTGTATCACAGAATGATACAGGTAGGAAGAGACCTCTGGAGGAGATCTGGTCCAGCTCCCCGTTCAAAACAGGGCCAACTTACAGCATGTTGCCCAGGGACTTATCTAGTCAGCATCTTTTGAGCATCTCCAAGGGTGCATGTTTCACAGTAATATTAAGAGAAATGATTTCATAGTAAGAGAATCATACCAAGGAGGTCTAAAGACAGTGATCGACAGATAGGGGATGTAAGTTGTAGAGACTTACCTGAAACCATGTTTTCAAATTACGTCTCAAAAGTGAAAAATGAGAAAGTGAATTCCAAACTTTAAAAGTGTGCTAACACTTTTCTGGTTCAGAGTTAACTCTTGGGTTTTCCTCGTTGCCTTATTGGAAAACATACTGTTGTGCTGAGCCAATGCATCCATACTCTGGCCATGACTCTTACCCAGGTAGTGTTGAATGCTTCAGCTGTTTCTGTAGCTCAAAAGTTACATCCTCATGTTGCAAACAAAGAAAAATGGAGAGAGCTGCAGTACATGAAATTAAGATTATGAATTCTTATATTAAAAAAAGTGTGTGAAGCTTTATGGGTTATACTCTGTATATGGGATCAGTGAGACTATATGCATAAATCCTTCTGTAGTCAACATGTTAAAAGGTCTTTTGTGGTCAGTGTGTAGACCTGATCATATGAACCAGATGGAGAAATAAAGCATAAGCTGAACAAAACTTTTCCAGGAGAGTCACAAAAGCATATCGGAGATGATCTGGGGCTTTTTTACCCTGTTCTACAAATCTTGCTGAGGTTTAGATATGAATGCCAGAGCCTTGACTTTTGTGGGAATGCTGTTCTTGAAGACAGCATGGCATCCAGGCTTTTCCTGTGAAAAGAATATTGTGAATCACACAGGATTCTGGAAGCATCACCTTTCTCCAAAAGAATGCAGTGTTGACAATATTCTTGTGCTGAAGTATCCAACTAAATTATCCTGAGCACTTACTTCCCTTGCTACCATGATCTAGATTTTAGTAAAACGTCTCAAGTAATCCTGGTATTTCTTAATTTGAGTTGTGCAGTTCCATGTTTGCTCAGTTAAAGTAGCAGAAAATCAGAAAATGCAAGTATTAAGCTTTTAACATGTTGTCTTAATCAGAGTGCACATCCTGTGTGTTTTGGGACATAAATGCAATGGTGTCCATAGCAATTTATGGAGTTCTGAACTTAACATGAGAGTAACAGACAACCTACATGTGACAAGCTGGTCAATGTAGTTACTAGATCTTTGCATTTCCTGACTTCTCTAATTTTTCAGCTATGACAACTGTGGTTTCCTAAGTTATTAGTTAGTTGGTTGTGGTTTCTTTTGCTTGTGTTTATTTCCAAAACAGCTGTGCAGTAGAAAGGGGAGAGGATGCAGATTTGTGGTATTTGCAAACTAGTTTTATCTTATAAATTCCCAGTATGTCCCCTTTCTCATGAAGTTTATGTTCAGATGAACTTAACTCAATTTCCTCTGCACCTTCTTTACAAGCATTTCTTTTCTCCCAAATCAAACAGTTCTTTCTTTTGTATATATTTTTTTTATTATTATTTTAGCCAAGGTCTTAAATTATTTTCTTTCATTCTTTCCTTATTTTAAATAATTTCTGATCCTGAGCAATAGGTTTCTATGTCTTTGGAGCTCAAGTAAACTTCCCTTTTGCCACTGAACTACACTGCCAGAGAAAAGATCAGAGTGTGTCTTTAGTGTGGACCTCACTGAAGTATAGCTTCAGGTGTAACTGAGTGTATGTAACCAATAACTTGATCAGTTCCTACTTAATCCCACTGTCTTTTCCGCAGTTTTTAGTTGTGGTCTTTCAGCAATATTTTAGTTGTTTAAAACTAGCACAGAAACGACATTAAAAAGAGGGAAAAGCTTAGTATTGAAACTGGAAAGTGTAAGGCCAGGTTGGATGGAGCCTTGGGTGACATGGTTTAGTGTGAGATGTCCCTGCCCATGGCAGGGGCTTGGAACTGGATGATTTTGAGGTCCTTTCCAACCGTAACTATTCTATGATTCTATAGTTCTACTTTAGGACTGAGGAAAGAATAAACTACAAGGTTGAAAGTGAATATCCGGAAATGATTTGAAATGCCAAGAATGATGATGAAACTCACAAGCTTACTTGTCAAGATGGATAATTCTTGACAGCTTCCCTCAGATTCCCTCTTTTCAAGAATTCCTGGCTATAAGAATGAAAAATGACAAACTTGCTGGACTAGAATTTCTATCTAAAGTATCTGCATATGAAGCAGTATAATTCCTTCCTTCAGGTTTTACTGGTGACTGTCATTAATATGTAATTGGTTTTGCGTTTTGCTGTATTTAAAGCATTGCCTGTAAACTTAGTAAAATCTGTTAGTTTAAGTATGGGTTTATGATGCTATGGTCATAAGCTTCAGAATACTCTAAGCACTTGTCACAAACTCCATAGAAAGGGAAAAATGACAGTGTAATTGCGCACTGCAGCTGCTTCTGCTCCCCATGTGACTAAACAGATGCATATGAAGACCATAAGTAATCATTAATTGCTTTCCTCACTAAGCAGAGGTTTTTTTGGATAGCAGACTTGGATTTCATTGCTTTGTCACACAGGAGTATTTAATAAGTTATAGTTCAGATTACAGTGAACTGAAAAGACTACATAGAGAGTTTCAAATGACATGAGAACTCGTTATTGGTAGCCACTGTTGTACTTAAATGCCACCTAGAGTATTTGAGCACTTAAAGAATCTGATTATACGGAGTGTGCAGTACCTTGAAAGTAAATCCTGAGCTGGAACCAGAAGAGGTTTTACTGATAATGATACTAATAATTGTATGAATATTTGGCCAAATTTAGATATATGGATGTTAGCAGCTTCAGTAATTTCCATGAGACAGTGGATGTGAGTTGATCTGAACCCAGCTTCAGATGTAAGCTGCATAGGTTTGTATAACAATTAGAGGGAGTGCTGGTTTGTATCATGTTTCCCTGACAGACACAGAAAAAGGTAATGGTTTCTGGATTTCTGAAACAGACTTTTGTTCTGGTTTTGGTTTTTCTAAATGCGTGGCAGATGGAATGTTGCACGTCTCGGCCAATCTGTTGTTCATGGCTAGGGTGGTGGATAGGCAGTTAAGAGGTGGTTCACCCATCTATAGTATGTGGGGTTTTTTTGACATTTACAATGAATAAAACTTTGAGGCCTTTTTTCCCTTCCCATTTTGGATCACTTAAAATCTGTTGTTCTCTGATTTTTCTTGTTCACAGTTGGTCATCAATGCTGCATTGGGATTTGACACATTTGTTGTTATGAGACATGGACTGAAGAAACCAAAACAGTCAGAATCTGGTGATTCATGTTTCAACAATGCCACTGGTTCTTCTGATCTTTTGGGATCATCACTCTTCTCAAATATCCCTGGCTATAAACTGGGTTGCTACTTCTGCAATGATGTTGTGGCACCAGGGGATGTGAGTAGAACCTTATGCAAATAGTGATTATATATCTCTCTTATTGTGACTTGATTTTTTTTTATTGCCTTTAAATGGTGTTTCATAGAAGGATTTGGTGTATGTTGATGTACACAGGATTAAGAAATAGCTCATCTTTTATTTGAAAGATCAAAGGCACGTAACTAAAGGTGTTTTGTGTAGTAGGGTGGCTGGTTACTTTTGAGTTACTTTTTTCTTTCCTTTAGAATTGTCTGTCTTTGTAGTCCACCAGGGATCGGACACTGGACCAGCAGTGCACGGTCAGTCGGCCTGGGTTAGCCATGGTAGCTGGAGCACTTGCAGTGGAGTTAATGGTTTCTGTTTTGCAACATCCAGAAGGGTGAGTCATTTCTGATTGGTGTTCAAAAGGTGTTCTCTGAGAAATAACATCTATTTAACAAAATCTTTTGGGAGAAGGAGGAAGTACACATGAAGTAGAACAATTCTGTAAGGTCTAGTGCTGCTCGTAAGTTAATGTAATGTATAGGTCATATCTACTATATTAGTGTAACTGGACAGTGTTCAAGAGGACTGATTCATCAAATCTTAAGTTTCTGTCTTGGAAATTGGCAGTTTTCTGTCCTAAGTTTAAAAGTAGGAAAGTTCTGTGACTATTTCAAAAGAAGAAAGTATTTCTGTAGGTGGATCTTGGCATTCCTTTGCTCAAGAGAGTGTTTGAGTGTAATGAGGAGCTATCCAAACTCCACATGTCACCTGAAAGGCTTCAAGATAATCCTAATATTGTGAAATCTGATTTAAAATTAAGTGGGCGTGATACAGAAATTACTGTGAAATTCTGCAACCTGAAACTTAGGCTTGTTTTCTGTCTTTAAAATCTGAAAGAAAAAGTGAGTTAGGAATTGGATATGTGTGTTACTGAGGCTGAGTCTGAAAAAGGGGTTTTATATTCCCATGCTGAATCTTAGTTACTATGAAACAGACTTTCCAGATAGGTTCCTTTCCAGATTCTAAACTGTAAACTGTAAAAAAATGTCTTGAAGCCTACTGGAAATTCTGACTGTTGAGTATGATGTCTTGTTCTAATTTTCCCTCTTGGATTTTTGGCAGTGGTTATGCTGTGGCCAGCAGCAGTGATGATAGAATGAATGAGCCCCCTACTTCTCTTGGACTTGTTCCTCATCAGGTAAATAATTTGAGAGTAAATCCTTTTGTTTAGAAGCTGGGAGCTGATATAAAGCAAACGTCACAGATCTTGCCTCCTTAACAGAAACATACTGCATGTTGCTTCCGTTCCCCAAAGGACTGACTTTCTATATTCAGTACAAAATACAGATACAAAAGAGTTAAATCTTTCACACAAGGTAGTTGTGCTCCTGGTGTTGTCTCTATCTTTCCTGTAGTTGCACAATTCCTGCTATCTACTTAGCAGGAATTGGTTTGGAGCAGGCAGTATGTGGATAAGGCAGCCTCACACTTGCCTGTTCCCCCTGGAAGCTGACAATATGAGCATCTCCAGGTTACTTCTGCTCACTTTTTAAATCCCCTCCGACTGAAAAAAAAAAAACCTAACTCCAGCCAGCTCATAATTACTACAGTTCTCCAAAATATTCACTATTTCTGGTGCTATGCAGCAGCTTTTATTCTTCTACTCAAGCCAAACTCTAGTTACTGATATGGTAAGGATTCAGTTTTTCAAATTGCTGGATAGACTTGGGTTTATTTCTTACATTGATACAGGCCTTCAAAGAACTGCCTGCTGATCTTATCCCTATAATCCTGTCCTCTGTGATACTATCGTTAAAAGTATTCTGTGCCTCTTTCTTTGTGTTACTGAGTGACTGCTTGGATGGTGCCATTGTATAAATAAGTAATTTATTGGTTTCTCTGTGGTGTTTTTAGATTCCATTGGTTTTGTCATGTGGGGTTTTATTTTTGCACTAAGAATAAATCCTGATTCAGAAAAAGATAAAGCTATTAATATGTTTTCTTTGCAACATCCAGGTAATGACAGGCTCTGGTCTACATAAAATTAGTCTAATTGTGTTTATGTTATGTACTAACTAGTGCTTACACATGGGTCATTTGATGCAATGGTGTCCCCCTGTGTTCTCTCTCTCCAGTAATTCTGGATTCTCTCCAGTTCTTTCTCAGGTGTGTCTCTCCCATACCCTGCAAGATTTTCTCCTTGTTCCTGCGGGCATTGTCAGCTGCAGGATTGGCTGGCAATATCCAATTCTTGATTAGCTTGTTGAGATACCCCCACTACGAGGCTTTTTCCTTGCTGGCACTCACAATCTGGTCACCTGGAAGGTTCTTGACTCTTCCCATCTTTGGCACTCATTGATAACTTTAGCAATGACTGACAGGTTACTTAGTTGTAACAAAGTGAACTCTCTTATCCTATAGGGTTATGTGTAGTTAAAATGCTAATGCTGTTGTCAGCCAGGCCCAACCCGTGCCAACTGCTGCAGCATATCTGAGGGAGATTTTTTTGACCTTTCGTATCTCAAGAGGAATAAAAAGCCAGCTCTAAATCTTGTTCATTTGCTTTGTTTCAAAATGGTGACTGTGCTCCAGACCTCTGGAGACCAGATCTGTAATTTGGACTTTCTCTTAAAAAGTGATAGTGAAGAAGTCATTTCCCGCCCCCCTTCCCTCCTATCCTAGAAATATTACATTAGATAGGAATATTTTTAATTCCCAGTAAACTTTTTAGAGTTTACTGCTTCTACTGGAAAAAGAATGATCTCATCATCAGGAAATACATGAACTCTGAGAATGTTAACTGTCCAGTCAGTCCTCTCTGATTTGTTTTATACCCGCATAATACTTGCATTATTGTTCCGGTTTGGGCTATGCTTTACAATATGATCTATATCAAACATGTATTTTAATCAGAGAACTCTTCATTGAAGAATGACTCCTGTCAAGCCTATCTCCATTTTCACGTTTACGTTTAGTGACTATTGCCAATATCTTCTCTTTTAGGTATTCTAAGACAAATACAAAGAGACATTTTTCTTTTTCAAATACTGTGACTTCTCATCCTTTATAAACTGCTGGTTTCTCCTAGGAGTCACCCGTGTGTTTAACTTTACACCATGGCTTTTGATTCTGAGTGAACTTTGCAATCAGAAAAGTCAAACTCCAGGTGGTGCTGTGCCTCTATTCGTGCTTAAATAATGTTACATTTAGATAGTTGGGCCATTGTTTGTATCCAGAAAACCAGGAATGTATGTTGAGTATAAATTGACTGCAGGTGTTATTTGGGGTCACTGTGTCAGAACAGCATTACCCCAGTTAGAGATGTCCCTTATCTGTTTGTTGAAAGTATGTCTCCAGTTCATGTCAAATTTTGGACATGTTTTTTATGGTGGTAAAAAAATTGTAATTTGTTCCATTTTCCAGATCCGTGGGTTTTTATCAAGGTTTGATAATGTTCTTCCAGTCAGCCTGGCGTTTGATAAGTGCACAGCCTGTTCAACCAAAGTAAGTCTGAATTTGCACTTTATCTATATGTATACTGAATGGTGTTGCTCTAGGTCAGTCATGGGGTGCTGAGGACTGCTTTGTATTTGACATTTTCTCCTCCTTAGGGTTTGGAATCTGTGTTCTCACTTCAGCTGACGTTCTTTTGCCCTCAAACCCTTCTTTTTTAGCTGTCTTCCAAATTTCTTTGGCATCACCTATTAGCATGCTATATCCACATAATCATTAGTCAGCTGAAGAAACCAAGCAGGGATTAGGACCAACACATTTCTGAGAAGTGGATCACGTAAATACAGTCAATATTGTTTAGCTTTGTAGGAAGGAACGAAATCAGTATTGTTTCTAGTTGATTAAGAAATTGTCTGTTGTTGTCCAGTGTATAAATATATCCTCCTTAGTATCATTACAAATATGCAAAGTTATATAAATTTCTGGTTTATGAGACAAAAGAAGCATATAAAGAACACTTCAGAAAAATAAATTACTTCCATAACATTTATTTATTGAAAAGCCTGTTTCATTTTGACGCTAGTGTTGACAGTCCTGAGTCACCTAATAGCTTTACAGCTGTTGCCTGGATCTGAGCTATCCTGCCAGATCACTAGGACAGCCCACTAATGTGTCTGTGTGAGGCCTCCTCAGTCTTGGATTGTTTTCCTGTACTGTGGCCTTGAAAAGTTTTTTCTGGCAAATTTTCTCTGTAGTGAGAGTTCAAGAAGTTTTGACTGGGATCGCTCAATGTGAAGATGCAGAGGGTTTGACTCATGATTTGGACTGCTTGGGGGTGCCAATGGTTTAGTTCACTTTGATGTACCTTGGGACTTACTGCAAGATGTTCTTACAGTTCTTTTCACTGCACTTGTCCTTTCAAAAAGCTACAAAAAACTCCTTGAGGCATTAGAGTTTTTCCTTTTGAGGACTTGCACAATTTCTTCTTCTGTAGAATTGCTTTGATTTCTCTGGGCCATCTGGGTACATTTGACAAGTTTTGAAGGGCTATTAATGTCCATTTTCTCCTCAAAAGTTGAAGCACTAGACTTAAAATTGCTGTTATTTTTAGAGACATGTATTTACCCTCTTGAATAGCTGAAAGCTCAGCAGTAGCTAAAAGTTTCTGGTGATGGAGCCTGAGAAGCTAAACTGCTAGAATAAGCTTTTTTTTATCATCTCTAGTAAGGACGTACTGATATATAAAATCAGTAAAACCATACATCTGTGCAGACAAATTCAATGCAGGTATCAATTTTTTGTGAGCAGATCATTTCCTCTTGGAGGTCATTTTCCAGAGAGCCCTGTTTTACATAAACAGACTTGATGATTTAATAAAAACTGCCTTGGATTTTAGCAGCTGTGCTATTCCCAGAGAGATCACTTTTCATGTGGTTTGGGTATTCAGTTACTTCTGTGCTGAAAAGGTTGCTTCATCGGCGCACGTATTTCCTTACAGTAGAAACATGGCCTCTGTTTACTTTGCTAACTTTCTATTTATTGGCATAAGAGTATGTCACCCTGTATTATCTGCAAATCTGATGCTGATACTTTGAAATGACAAACCCAATTATGATTTAACTGTAGACTTTATGTTGTTGTTTTGTTGCTGTTGTTGGTTTTCTTCCAATGCATCGATTTACCGTAATTTCATCCTGATCTATGTCACATTTACTGTGGATTTTAACTTTCAGCATAGAAGTAGCTTTTCTGACATAATTGAATTTGCTGGTACCTTATTAATTTTCTTCTTTCTTATGTCAGCATTCTCTTTCTTGTCACTGTAACTCTTAAAACATAAAACTAAGGAATTAGGTATTTAAGAAGAATCTTGTACATCCTTACACCATCCAGTACAGCTGGATGACTTGAGAGAAGCTGCTAATGATCTGCATTCTTTGAGATTAGGTTCCATTTCATTTTGACTCACAGTCATGACTTCATTTCTCCGTTTTTGAAGCTGAAGAGCCCAGACGTCCAAGCAGGCAGCTATTCCCTACCCAGAATTGTCCCAAACAGGCTGCATGCCAGAGAAGCTTCCCGCAGGCAATTGTTCAGGAATTTTGGGATGGTCGCAGCAGCAGGAAACCAATCTATTTTTGTTCTGGGCCTAATTTTCTTTGTGTGATTTCCCCCTCTGTTTTATTCTGGTTCCGCACAAGCACGTGCTAGAATGGAAAGTGTCCTCTTTTAGAGCGAACAGCACAGCGCTGCCCTGGCAGTTGACTAGTAGATCTGAGCAGCAGTGTAAGCTCTTCTGATGGGAGAGTCCAAGTTCTATAGTATAGATATTTATTTGTAATAACCATTTTCCTTACAGAATGTGTTAACTGAGCTGTCTGAGTGGTCCTGATCCTTGCAGGCAACTGGCTAAAACCCTGAAACATGAATGTTCAAATATGTATCTATCTTAATTCAAAACTGCCATTGTTTAGATTTTAGTGAGGTAATGAACATTTTCCTGTTACTGCTCCTCCCTCCTCCTTGTGTGTCATGGAATGAATCAGGAGACTTCATAGGTTCAGAGTTTAATGGCAGAAAAAGATTACTGGCTGCTAACCCACTTGGATATACAACTGGCCTTTCTGTTTCTACATACTTCGTGCAGACCCTATTTTCTCTAGAGGCTGGATTTATTGTCCATGTGCTAGAAAATAGCTTACTTGCCTTGAAGA